GTGCTACGTCAGTCGTAAGACTATGTTAAAGTATGGGAGTTACGATCACCTTAAATTAGTGCTACGTCAGACGTAAGTCTGTGTTAAAGTATGGCAGTTACGATCACCTTAGTGTTACGTCAGTCGTAAGTCTATGTTAAAGTATGGGAGTAACGATCACCTTAGTGTTACGTCAGTCGTAAGTCTATGTTAAAGTATGGGAGTTACGATCACCTTAGTGCTACGTCAGTCGTAAGTCTATGTTAAAGTATGGGAGTAACGATCACCTTAGCGCTACGTCAGTCGTAAGTCTATGTTAAAGTATGGGAGTTACGATCACCTTAGCGCTACGTCAGTCGTAAGTCTATGTTAAAGTATGGGGGTTACGATCACCTTAGTGCTACGTCAGTCGTATGTCTGTGTTAAAGTATGGGGGTTACGATCACCTTAGTGCCACGCAAGTCGTAAGTCTGTGTTAAAGTATGGGAGTTACCATCACCATAGCGCTACGCAAGTCGTAAGTCTATGTTAAAGTATGGGGGTTACGATCACCTTAGTGCTACGCAAGTCGTAAGTCTATGTTAAAGTATGGGGGTAACGATCACCTTAGTGCTACGTCAGTCGTATGTCTGTGTTAAAGTATGGGGGTTACGATCACCTTAGTGCTACGTCAGTCGTAAGACTATGTTAAAGTATGGGAGTTACGATCACCTTAAATTAGTGCTACGTCAGACGTAAGTCTGTGTTAAAGTATGGCAGTTACGATCACCTTAGTGTTACGTCAGTCGTAAGTCTATGTTAAAGTATGGGAGTAACGATCACCTTAGTGTTACGTCAGTCGTAAGTCTATGTTAAAGTATGGGAGTTACGATCACCTTAGTGCTACGTCAGTCGTAAGTCTATGTTAAAGTATGGGAGTAACGATCACCTTAGCGCTACGTCAGTCGTAAGTCTATGTTAAAGTATGGGAGTTACGATCACCTTAGCGCTACGTCAGTCGTAAGTCTATGTTAAAGTATGGGGGTTACGATCACCATAGCAGTACGTCAGTCGTAAGTCTATGTTAAAGTATGGGGGTTACGATCACCTTAGTGCTACGTCAGTCGTAAGTCTATGTTAAAGTATGGGGGTTACGATCACCATAGCAGTACGTCAGTCGTAAGTCTATGTTAAAGTATGGGGGTTACGATCACCTTAGTGCTACGTCAGTCGTAAGTCTATGTTAAAGTATGGGAGTTACGATCACTCAAGTGCTACGTCAGTCGTATGTCTGTGTTAAATTATGGCAGTAATGATCACCTTAGAGCTACGTCAGACGAAAGACTATGTTAAATTATGGGAGTTACGACACCTTAGCGCTACGATCGCTTTGTGGAACAAGTCCCTGATTAGGGACCTCGGTCTGTCCACACACAACACATCAATAAATAGACTCGTAAACGTCAACGACCTGTGTCATTTTGTGATAAGAGAAACACTATTCAAAAGTGGCATTTAACCCATTGGCAACTAGTTCGCTCCTTAAAAAAGTTTACACTTGTGGCCCGAATGAGTTTTACGTTACGTATAGCAATATTCCATCCATATTATACATATCACGACAGTGGACCCCAGAACGTGTTTCACGCGTTGTACGCAAATATGGGGCTAAATGGGTCTTTGCCGTGTCGACGCAACGCTCTAACCGTTACCCCAAGGGCAACTCGACCTCTCACTGCTTAAAGCGGCGTTTAATTCAAATAACCGAAGTGTACTTGTAGTGTCTAGAGGATCCTAAGAATACAAAATCAATAAGATGCTGTATCCAGAATCTACCGACACAAGCGAAAAATTCCTACTTTTGACAATCAATCTGTTAAAGCCATTCTTGGTATCCTCGACGTGATAATGCTGGTTTAAAGGTATAAGCGGTTCAAGTCGAGCAGACTAACGCCTAGTCTCTGAAAATATATAGTTTTGATAGAAACAAATAAGTCCATTTAAACTGAAAATAAGCCCCAGTAGGATGGGATTTTCAGCACTTGTGGAAAATCTAGACCTGCTTAATTTGGGACTGTAGAATTACAGGGAACATATATGGTTCAGGGACTGTGAGATAGACTAATTATCTACAGTCACTTTGCAGGACTGGATTTAAAATGCTGAGGTTGCACTTTTGTCGGAGGCGAGATACAATGTAATGGAATGCACGTATCATTAGCTACTCTGCGTAATGGCTCGTGTAATGTGTTGAACTCCACTGCCCCGTCATTTAACTCATATTCCAGAGTCACGTGAGACAGACTAGGTAAAAGCCCTTCTTTTATACTTACTCAATTACTCCTGATTTCGGTGTTAATATAGAGCTAATAAATGCGGCTACTGGCGTCACATTCGACTTGGACAAGTCTCTTAGGCAATTTTCTTTAGTTTAAATCATAATTTCTAGATTATATAAATGATAAGGACAAGTCGTCTCTATAAGAGTGAGTGAGTTAGTATTATTTTACGCCGTTTTTAGCAATATTCCAGCAATATCACGGCGGGGGACACCGGAAATGGGCTTCACACATTGTACCCATGTCGGGAATCGAACCCGGGTCTTCGGCGTGACGAGCGAACGCTTTAACCACTAGGCTACCCGACCGCCCCTTGTCCCTTTAACAGACTGGAGTCCTTATTTCGTTTTGTCCACATATCTAGACTTTCCAATTAGGAGGATAGCATTACTACACATCCATGGACTCTTCTTTCAGTGGAGCCTTGGAGCAAGGCTAGCATGACATGTGTATTGCGTCATGCTGGCGTCACAGCGAAGCATGTTATGTCCATGTATCTAGCACTGGTATTGTACATTTCTTAGTCCTGTATTTGTGAACGACCTGATCCCTGTCGTCAGTGTCTAGACAATGCGTATTAATACAAGCTGTCGGTCACATCAAAGACCAGGTAAGGCAATGAACCACTTGACTGTCGACGCGTGATTGATCTTTGCAGTTTGCCGAGTGGATGTAGACAGCGTTGGGGAGATGTACATGGAGAGAAGGTGGTCGGTGTGGAGGCCACTGGCATCAGTGAGTGAGTGAGTGAGTGAGTGAGTGAGTGAGGTTTAAGCTGCATTTAGCAATATACTAGCACTGTGTCATATTCCAGACTCTACTACTATTAGTAGTAGTAGTGGCGGTGGTTGTATAGCTCCAGTAGTAGTAGTAGTAGTAGTAGTAGTAGTAGTAGTAGTAGTAGTAGTAGTTAAAACAAATAAGTGAAAACAATATTATCATGCCTATATCTTCGAGGTGTTTTAACGTAATGAGAAGCAGCAATGATGGTAGTAGTAAGCGGTAAGAATGGTAGTGCGGTAGCAGTGGTAGCAGCAACAGCAAATGTACTCGTGACTTTCAGCAGCAAAAGTGCAGCTTGTTGCAGCCTTCAGTAGCTACGGTGAAGCTGGTAGCGGCTGTCATCAACAATATTGAAGCTAGACGTGGCCATCAGCAGCAGTATTGAAGCTAGACGTCGCCATCAGCAGCAGTATGGAAGCTAGACGTGGCCATCAGCAGCAATATTGAAGCTAGACGTGGCCATCAGCAGCAGTATTGAAGCTAGACGTGGCTATCAGCAGCAGTATTGAAGCTAGACGTGGCCATCAGCGGCAATATTGAAGCTAGACGTGGCTCCTTAGCAGCAGTATTGAAGCTAGATGTGGCTATCAGCAGCAATATTGAAGCTAGACGTGGCTCCTTAGCAGCAGTATTGAAGCTAGACGTGGCCATCAGCAGCAATATTGAAGTTAGACGTGGCCATCAGCAGCAACACTAAAGCTGGACGTGGCCATCAGTAGCAATATTGAAGCTAGACGTGGCTCCTTAGCAGCAGTATTGATGCTAGACGTGGCCATCAGCAGCAATATTGAAGCTAGACGTGGCCATCAGCAGCAATACTGAAGCTAGACGTGGCCATCAGCAGCAATCCTGAAGCTAGACGTGGCCATCAGAAGCAATATTGAAGCTAGACGTGGCACCTTAGCAGCAATATTGAAGCTAGACGTGTCCCCTTAGCAGCAATATTGAAGCTAGACGTGGCTTTCAGCAGCAATATTGAAGCTAGATGTGGTTCTCAGCAACAATATTGAAGCTTCACGTGGCTCTCAGCATTAATATTGAAGCTAGATGTGGAGCAGCAGTATTGCAGCTAGACGTGGCTCTCAGCAGCAATATGGAAGCAAGACGTGGCTTTCCGCAGCAATATTGAAGCTAGATGTGGCTCTCACAAACGATATTGAAGCTTGACGTGGCTCTCAACATCAATATTGAAGCTAGATGTGGCTATCAGCAGCAATATTGAAGCTAGACGTGGCTCTCAGCAACAGTATTGCAGCTAGACGTGGCTCTCAGCCACAATATGGAAGCAGGACGTGGCTCTCAGCAGCAATATTAAATCTAGACGTGGCTATCAGCAGCAATATTAAATCTAGACGTGGCCATCAGCAGCAATATTCAAGCTAGTCGTGGCTCTCAGCAGCAATATTGATGCTAGACGTGGCTCTCAGCAGCAATATTGAAGCTAGTCGTGGCTATCAGCAGCAATATTGAAGCTAGACGTGGCTCTCAGCAGCAGTATGGCAGTTAGACGTTGCCATCAGCAGCAATATTGCAGCTAGATGTGGCTCTCAGCAGCAATATGGAAGCTAGACGTGGTTTTCAGCAGCAATATGGAAGCTAGACGTGGTTCTCAGCAGCAATATTGAAGCTACATGTAGATGTGGCTCTCAGCAGCAATATTGAGACTAGACGTGGCTATCTTGATGCGGAAGCTCGACGTGATTCTTGATCGTCATATTCAGGTCATATGCATACTGTTCATAATCTAAAACCACAGCCACGAAAAGATGCACGCTCGTTATATACCAGAAGGTTCTGGTGCCGTTGTTTCTCAAGTGTACCTAGTGTTGCCTTGACTTCTTTAATACAAACAATATTTAATGTTACAGCGAGGCGCACTTCGGCCACGCTGGCTTAAATAACAAAACAAATACCTTCTGGTAAAACATCATCAAATTTATTCAATAATGTATTTACAAATAATGTATGTTAAATACTATACACCATACAGTCACCAATGTCAAGAAAGCAATCATATATTGACATGAAAATGTTCAACACCCGCCATTTTGAAAACGAGGTTGACAGCAAATATTGATGACGTCATCAAAAAGGGGGAATATACAGATTAAAAACTACTAAAATATGTCGCACGTTCCCTTCTTGGGACAAAACTTGACGAAACTTGCTTGGGTAATCTGTGACAATAACAGTTTTCCTGAACCAAAATTTCCATTTCAGGGACGTCTAAATCACAAAAACTACAACCATCATATCCTGGGCTCCTTTACCAAAGCATAGTTAATAATGAAACTGTCGAACGAAGCTGTACTCTTTGTCCATATAAATAGAGCATAAGCATAAATCTGGCAATACAAAGCCACCGTATGTATATAAGACATCATCCTCGATTATCCAGGGAGAAACATCAGCATCCAATTAAGATAAATACTCTGGCGTCATTTGTCCCCATAGCTTCCTAACTATCTCCATCTCGAACCCGCCTATCCATGGCTTAGCACAGATATGCGATCGCTCATCACAGCAATTTGATTGGACGGCCATCTTTAGCATCGTTCCACTAGAATCGGGCTCAAAACGAAGCTATGGCAGCGAATGAGTCCCAAGCATGATCTTAATAGAATTCTGATATGATGCCCTTGATCATCGAGGATGATAAGACAGCACAATGTGGAGAGATTTCAGTTGAATCTACAGTAGCATTATGCCTTGATAGCAGACAATATCGGGTTTATAATTATACTGGCTGAATTATATTTCAGTCTTATTATGCAAGAGAAGCAGGAATACAGATTCAATGGGCTTAATGAATTTGGGTTGGATTATTTGAAACCCTATGAGGAATCGAACCTGGTATTTCAGCGTAAGGAGCAAACGCACTTGCTACTGGACTAAAAAAACAAAATACAGGGTCGGCATAACAATACTACACTACTTTTAAAAGATATTAGAGGACTTTGTTCAACCATTCATAATAATTCTCTATTTTTGAAATTTTAAACTTGATTATTTATTTGAATTACTTTACAATTTAAGAAAGATGTCATATGTTTTAAACACAAAACTTTAGTGGTCCATGTTTCAGAATAATATTTTGCGTTTTTCGAAAATCCTTTATAATGTCGGGGTTATGGATCTGGGGTTGAGAAGGCACCATTACATAATTATCTTTTTACAGAAAAAAACCCGATATCATGTGCATAATTGCCAATATGTCGATCACACTACATCCAAACATTTTAAAAAGGTTGGATTAAATTGTAAGAAACGATCTTTGCAAAGAAACACCGTATGCAAATTTCACGTTTGGGACAACGTGTAGTCAAGACTTTTGTAATCATCTCTGTCAGTGTACAAAGTACGTGAACCGGATATGCATCAGAACGGACATGCGCAGTTGATTATTAATCAGAGAGAAGGTGTTTCACGTCACCATCAAACACATGCACAGTGGACATTCGTAAAGTTGGCGGTCAAATGTTTTCCAACACTGATATTTGTACATTATTGGCTTTTCAATCAAGTAGATAAAATAATATATGTTACATCCGTATAGCTGGCTGGTATAATGGCGTCTGTTTCCTCCGCTAGCCAATCAGCGTCGAGCCTGCAGTATTATCACACTTAGTAAAACCGTTAGTGCTGCCGGGAGTCTCTGTGACGTCACTAGTGACGAGGCACCATTGCCATTGTCTGTAATGTATTTACTTTTGTACTTATTTTTATCATCCATTGAGCTTGGCGTGTGGCCTGGCTGGTGTTGCTGGGGCTTCTCCGTTGACTGAAAAAAAAGGAAACAAAATGGTAAGGTCAGTTGCATAGATTTACCTAAACTGTCTTTGGGAAGCTCTTGACAGCTAACCCTTAAGGTGCTACAACATCTGTGTGTTTTAAGCATGGAAACTTAAACTGTTGCGAACGGTTAACCAACAACGTCCGTCGCTACTCGCCTTGTTTGTTTGAAGCAAAGGAAACAGCTTGGAATACATAGCTTCAAAACCGTCGCAAACAGTTAACTGATGATGAGTAGGTAACCGCGCATTACAAATCGTGAAACGACTTTGATAATCTCGCTATTCAAATCAACAATGGCAAAACAGTCCAAGAATTATATAACTGCCAGGGACCCGTTCCACAAAGCTATCGTAGCGCAACGACAGTCGTAGGTCTATGTTCAACTATGGGAGTTACGATCGTCTTAGCGCTACGATCGCTTTGTGGAACGGGGCCCTCGTCCCCGTTTCGCAAAGCGAGCTACGACCATCGTCATGCCTATACTTTAACATAGAGTTATGTCAGTCGTAGCACTACAATCGCTTTGTGAAAACGGCACCAGGGTTCTACTTTTAACTGGATTGGTGATTTTGTTATTTTGTCGTGAAACATTCCAGACGTTGGCTTGATTGGAATACCAAGTGACCAATAATCCATCACCACGACGGCCCAGGGACTGGAATAGTGGGCCATTATCCGTAGTGCTAGGAACAAGGATAATTTTGCTTTTTGTGAAAATTTCCAGCTCCCTGTCTCATTTTTTGTCTATTCCAGCATATATCAAAAACAAAATTACAAATGTCACGTTTTTTTGTGCAAGTGGAAATATTCAGAGATTGGATTTTTCCTACTTTGGATGCACAAATAACCAGTCAACCTGTTCGGTGACTGGTCAACCATATTCTACACATGCTCATAAGCAAAAGTTACTGGCTTCACTGACACTATATAAACATTTGAAGATTATTAAAAACCAAATGCCGTGAATGAATCAAATGACTAGTTCATGTTCCCAAAACTGACCAGTACTCAGTAAAACACTGTTCAATCATACCAGACCACCGTGGAACACAAAGAATTATTTGATAGCTTCACCACATCCAATACAGTAGGGGCGGTCGGGTAGCCTAGTGGTTAAAGCGTTCGCTCGTCACGCCGAAGACCCGGGTTCTATTCCCGACATGGGTACAATGTGTGAAGCCCATTTCTGGTGTCCCCCGCCGTGATATTGCCGGAATAGTGCTAAAGCGGCCTAAAACCATACTCACTCACTCACTCACATAATCAAATCCAAATGGAGTCCACCACAATGCTTAGTTATTCTGTATCTGAGATGGTTTCCTTCTTAATTTATTTTCTACGGTTTGGTATGTAAGATGTAGTTTCCTATTATAAGATATGAGGTAACACAACTCGCTATGCAGAGTTGTGTCCCTTAGCTGTAGTAGGATATTGTATTTTTGTGTGTATTGTTTTGCAATCGAATCCGTTGCATTTTGTGGGTGTCTGTTCTGGTAATAATCACCCACCAGTTTCCTCTTAACTTTAGGTTATGAGTATATAACACGTAGCTCCATCAGCTAGACTTCAACGTCGAATGTTAACATAAAACATCAACTCCATAGGAATAACAACCGCGGAAACATTGGGTAAGTCTGACATTCAGACCCTGAAACATATTCCAACACAGCCAATACAAGTCTATGTTTGGCAAGACTATATTACTGCATGAAAATGAAGAAAGTCTCTGGGCTCCTTTTTATTATATTTTATAACTATAATTTAACAACTATTTTTCTTTAAAATATGTTCATTTCAGAGACTAGATGATAGTCTATTGGTTGTAAAGGCAAAATAGCGGCAAAAATTATATGAATGGATCACCGACTAATGTTTTCTCGATCACGGAGTCTGATGACAAGAATACCATCTGGAACACACATCTCCACCTTCATCTTACACCAGGCTACCAGAAACACCACGTCCGGCCATACTAGTGTGAAACATACAATCGATGTTCTGAAGAGGCGTGTATTATTTGAACATGTTTTCATATCCTGATGCGTGTAACGGCAGTTGGCAAACATGTTTCCACCATGTAGTAGCTATTGTTCACATAACGTTCCTGTGTTGATATCATTAGTGCCACGATGATCAACACCGAAGATGTCATGTCGCGTGAGGGTGCCTTGAAACATCGTTTCCGGTCCATGAAGCACTCGACGAGAGCGTGATGGCTACCAAAATGTGTCAATATTAATTTCAACCAGTATCATATCAGTTGACTACATTTCGATCAGAGCCGCGTATAAGGAATAACGAACACATCCCAGGAAGACCGCTTGCTAGAAGATGTAGCAGTAAATATGTTCGATACGGACCATTTTCCTGTCTTACCAACCGTTGTCGAGGCAGCACGTGCCCCGAGCCCATCCGCCATATTTATTCTCATCGATTGCGCCCTCTCGTCGAAACTATTCCCTTCATTCAATTACGGCATCGAAAAATAGATTAAAATAATTTACTTTGATATCGAATGGCACTTAATTAGACAACGCAAACAAGGTTTTCTGTTGGCTTCTTAAACTGTGATTTGTCAAAACGCGCGATTCGCCCGTGCAGTGTCGGCTAATCTGGCTGCGTCTTGAATGACTAAACGTGCCAAGCGGGAACTGCAACTTGTCAGAAAATTACAAAATCGCAATGAAATTCCTCTACTCCACATGCCGTTTTCAAAACTCGCCCCGGGAATTAAACCTGTTCCGTAAAACACTAGCTATGGCGGCCCCGTAATTGATGGCAAGAGAGAAACGGACGCCCGCATTCCTGATCAATACTAATTCTCAAGCCCTCTTTTTCTGAAAGGTCGAGTAAAAGCATGGCCCTATATTTTATCAAAATGTCAAAAATCAGTCAAAAGGTTTGATAATTGTAGCAGATTTGCATCGCCATGCTGATTAGAATCCCACTGCACGCACGTGCAGTCCGTGTTATCATGTGTCGTGTGATTGGTTGTCCGTCCTGCACGCGGATTGTCTAGGGTGCTGTTATGAAGTTAATCAAGCCAGAGTCCAATATCTGTCATACAGGAGTCAAACTTGTGCAAGTCGATATTTGTAAATAAAGCTTGATGCGAGACATTATTCATAACTGCCCAGACTTAATAAGATATGGAGATATAGATATGCTGGTATTCAATTTATCCATCCATATTTATAACAGCCGTTATCTGAGAGCACTTTCCTTGATTTAAGGAAATAGAAAATTGAAACATAAAAAGAATTCTGCCAGCTTGTTCCGACAAGAGTATGATTACTGACGCACATAACGCGAACCCTCAGTACTCCAGGTTTCGTATTTCCCATTCAAATAAGACCGCCTCCGTGGTTTAGTGGGGGAGAGTCTGCCTGGAGAGCGGAAGGTCGGGGGTTCGATCCCCGGCCGCCTCATACCAAAAGACGTTAAGATGGTACTTGTTGTACCCTCCAAGGCGCTTGGCACTAAGGGGCTAAAACAAGGACTGGTCGTCTCGGAGTATATTGTGTCCGAGTGGGGTATTCATGTTAAACTGCGGTATAGTATCTCAGTTGGCTAGCACTATAAAACCGTCAGTAACTCATACATTCTTTTGAAAACTGTCAAGATTAACGGGTCCTCATTAAAGAATCTTGGTATTTTTACAGTAGATTATTTGTTTGGTAGTTGTCGAAATGATACTCCCAGGGGGGCTAGGTCCAGTCTAACGAGGCTTTGTTTTCTCGCTGCTACGCTTCTCATATGTTGAGGCCCGTGAAGATCCGGAGTAGAATAGGTCTTCAGCAACCAATGCTTGCCGTAAAAGGCGACTATGCTTGTCGTAAGGGGCGACTAACGGGATCGGGTGGTCAGGCTCGCTGACTTGGTTGATGCATGTCATCGATCCCAATTGCGTAGATCGATGCTCATGATATCAATCACTGGTTGTCTGGTCCAGACTCGATTATTTACAGACCGCCGTCACATAGATGGAATACTGCTGAGTGCGGCGTTAAACAACAAACCAACCAAACCAATCTTAAATGTTGACTACCACGTAGGGGGTCCGGATTAGCATACTGGTCCCAACAACCAACCCTTTTCGCCAGGTCAGACCACAGAATCTTCACGGGGGGCACCAATAATTTCTTGAAATTTCAACATACTAACTTGAAATTTCAAAATGTTATGTTGAAATTTCAAGATACAACGTTGAAATTTCAAGATACATACTTAGTTGAATTTCAAGATAAATTTCAAATTTCAACTTATTTTCTTGAAATTTCAAGATCATAACCTTGAAATTTCAACTTAGTATGTATCTTGAAATTTTAGCTTAGTGTATTTAAATTTCAACATAACATCTTGAAGTTTCAAGTTATGTATCTTGAAATTTCAACTTAGTATCTTTTTTCTATATCTCCGTAATGAGGAAACAGAGGAATAGCAGGGGGTTGAGAAGGAGACAGACGTGGAGGAGAAAGAGGAGAAAGAGGAGGAGGTTGTTGAAGAGGAGGAGAAAGCGGAGGTGGGGTTGAGGAGAAAGAGGAGAAAGAGGAAGAGGTTGTTGAAGAGGAGAAAGCGGAGGAGGGGTTGAGGAGAAAGAGGAGAAAGAGGAGGAGGTTGTTGAAGAGGAGGAGAAAGCGGAGGGGTTGAGTAAAAGAGGAGAAAGAGGAATTGGATGAGGAGGGAAGGAGGAGTAGAACAATTATTTTTCATAACATCATTTTTCAGCACGAATAATTATTTCTTTTGTAAAACCCGATAATTTTATATTTTTTTTGTATTTTCTAAAACAAGGTACTTATTGTAAGAAATGTTATATTTGGGACAACACTATCTTTGTAAAATACAGATTCGCGTACTTGGCATTATGTGTTTAAAGGTATTTATTATAAAGAAATCCAACATCATGAATGATAATGTTGCGTCAGGATATGTCAGATACGCTAAAGTGACAGGTTTTGACAAGCCTAACTTAATGCATTAAATAGCATGCAGTCTGGATATAGATGGAATATAACTGACAGCGACAATTACAGCATTCACCACTCACACAGTAACCGGTTTACAAATCTGAACACTGAATAAGTTATCTTGACGTATGCCGTGCAATTCCTGTATTGAATACAACGCATTAGACGGTAAACAATAAGCGAAGTCGCTCTTCCTGTGTGTGTCTGAAGGCAAGTCGACCCAGTCTACACGTCGGCACGACTCTCAGTTCCATCCAACTGGCTGCTGAACGCACCGGCCTTATTGTGGTATCGCCGCCTTCTACAAAGCTTACCATTGACAATTATACAGATATACAGACATTACCCAAGACAGGATGTTCATTACATTAAGACTTGTCTGATTACAACAGTGCCATGAATAACGACCGAAGCCATAGCAGTCACGCGTCTACAACGAGTTAAGGTGTTCTGGGCAAATACAGCTATACATGATTAGCGAGCGAGCTGAAGAGAATTATCTAGGTCCGGTGGTTCTGACATTAACCTAATGAGCTGAGAATACGTGGGATTAAAAGTTTTCGCAAATCTATACAGTTACCAGGACTTGGATGTTGTCTATTACGGACACTGTGTATACCACATTTTGTGTATACCGAACAGTCGACGTACGACCGCAATGACTTCCGCACACCTATCCTTAAGAATAAGAGATAATAGAACCTACTGCTACACTGTGAAAACATGTTCTACGGACACTGTGTATACCAAATACTGTGTAAACAGAACGAGGCCCCGTTGAACTTATAAGCGTAACGGTATGATTTTCAATTGTCTCTGAAGAAGTGTAAGGTGTAACCATTAACTTGTGCGGCAAATTAAGCAAATATAGTACGGACACTGTGCATACCACATCCTGTGTAAACCGAACTCGGTCCCGTCTAGTTTAAGTCGCATTGCTGTGCCTACGATAATAACCTTGAAGTTTAAGATTTGCAAGGACCTTTTGTGACCGTAGTGATTAACATTTACTGTATACGGACACCGCGCCATACAAATTCCTGAGTAAACCGAAGCGGGAAAAAACTTTTGATTTGGGAGTAGTCAGTTCTTGAACACTTCTGATGTTCAATGGTACTGTGTTCCATAGCCCGGGACCTGCACTTTCGAAACAGCGGTCACCAAATGTTTCTCAGCCCTCGTACTACACAGAGTGGGAACGTGTTTGGACTCCATGGTATAACATAAGTTGTGCGCTTATCTTCGTGGCGGGGTATACAGAGGGTACAACAAACCGTATTCCCCGAAATAATAAACCCTCAACGAATTTATCTTACCGCTATCTTTATCATTTACCATCATTTCAAAACAAATGGATGCAAAACGTTTGTTGGTCCCCATATTGCCGGGTGGGCTCGAACCCGTGAAGATCCGGGGTAGAATAGGTCTTCAGCAACCAAGCTTGCCAAAAAAGGTGACTATTCTTGTCGTAAGATACACGGTAGGCTCGAGAAAGCAGGTACATAAAAAGCCAAAGGCTCCGTTCCACAAAGCAATCTTAGCGCTAAGGTGACCGTAACTCCCATACTTTAACATAGGCTTACGATAGTCGTAGCGCTAAGATCGCTTTGTGCAACGGGGCCAATTTTCATACATCACCGCTGTTAAGGGGTAAAGGGAAATTTATTTAAAAAAACGTCATTGGCCAATACTCTTCAAGCATTTTGTACACAAGTTAAAATATAGATGTGCATACACTCACCTCTATATGTATAATGTTGTAGTCACACTGGGCGCTGTCTCTGACCATGGGCTTGATGAGGATCTCGACCAGCTTGGAGGCCTCTACGCCACACATCGCCTGGATATTGGGTTTGATGCAGTTCATGGCGTTTCTCATATCTCTGTAATATTAAACACTCTTTAAATTGTCTGAACCACATGACAACAACCGAAGCTTACATTCATTCCGCCGATAATATCAAATAGGCACACATGTCTGATATATTAAACACTCATTCAAATGGGGATGTAATACACTGGAAAATCGAGGGTGTGTCAATGCAGAAAGAGAAGAAGATTTAGGTGAATCTAAAACGTGATTTACATGTGAAATATTATACTTAAAGGATATAGTTAAAATTCCATGGTGTTTTTACGTTTAAACCACGTCGGTTGGTTGGTTTGTTGTTTAACGCCGCACTCAGCAATATTCCAGCTATATGACGGCTGTCTGTAAATAATCGAGTCTGGACCAGACAATCCAGTGATTAATATCACGAGCATCGATCAACGCAATTGGGATCGATGACATGCATAAACCAAGTCAGCGAGCCTGACCACCCGATCCCGTTAGTCGCCTTTTACGACAAGCATAGTCACCTTTTACGGCAAGCATGGGTTGATGAAGACCTATTCTACCCCGGAATCTTCTCGGGCCCAAGATCCTCGGGACCTTGCTTACACGATTACGTTGGTAATATAGTTCCAAACAATAAAAAAAACCTCCAAAAAATGCAAACAAAAGAAAGAATTATTTCCGACACCCGTTTTGTTTACTCGGGGAAAGGGCAGTGATAACGCCGTTAAACAGACTGGAAAGTGATGACAACTGACTTCACATTTGTGTTGCATCTTCATCTATCAACGACATGTTGCTGTGTAAGCTTGGGGACGATCAAGATTAATCACGGAGCAAACAGTTCAGGGATGGAGAGTAATATTTCAAATTGACATCTCTCGCCATTTTCTACATATGTTGCTTTACCGGCATAGTTCGTCTATCGTCTTCCGGTTGACCTTTGACATAAGCCGGATGCTGTTGTTCATGTACTTGGTGAGGCAATCTTCCGACACGTAACCTTGCAAGGCGAAACAGTTTTGGTGACGGGCATACTCTGAAATGATAAAAATATACATTGTAAATAGTATCAATGTGGGTTGAAGTGTCATACGCTTCCTATGTGTCCGATGCGATTCTCAAAATTGATTGGTGAGTTGAGGTAACACTGTTATTGACAATACGATGTTTGCCGCACCCAGCAATATTCCAGCTATATGAGGGCGGTCTGTAAATAATCGAGTCTGGACAAGACAATCCAGTGATTGGCATCAAGAGCATCGATCAACGCAATCAGGATACGATGACATGCATCAGCCAAGTCAACGAGCCTGACCACCCGATCCCGTTTGTCACCTCTCACGACAAGCATAGTCGCCTTTTACGACAAGCAGGGGTTGCTGAAGACCTATTCTATCCGGATCTTCACAGGACAATACGATATGACGTCGGAACACTAGCTCAGTTCCATCGTAGAGTTGGCATATCGTAGATTCGGCTCCCCTTTCTTTCCTAAAATTCCATTGGATAAAACCATAACACCTAGTGTCATTATTGTTCTTTGCTTTGTATAGTCGTTGTCCATTTTTTTCAGTTTCATGAAAAAACATCCAATCAGTGTGACATAGGCATTAACAGCATATTAAACCGTTAATCACATTGTCAACATACTCAGACCTCTTGGCACCTTTTGGCATTTGCTCATGTTTGATAATCTCTCCTCCTAGGTGACCCTTCAATAATGACACTAATACATCAACCTACTCGGAATTACGCATTTTCTGCCTACCGGTTTGAAAACCATCACAAAATGACATTTGGCTTTCATTTTCTGGGACACCGATCTTCAACCAACATTGGCATATGATACAGCAGACAATTCTATACAAATCACGAAAACAACCTTATGCCATTTGCCTGTAGCAAAATCACAGGCACGTATTGTTGAAAGCGACAAAAAAATCGTTAATTATCACAATGGCTTACAAATGTTTTATTGTTTGTTGCTTTACAAAGCGATGAAGACAGTGGCGGAGATATCTGAGTTGACGTTTCACAGGCTTATTTGTAGCCCTATCACGTCACCCCACGTTACTGTCATCTAGATTATCACTGCCGAATGATAAATCCCATTATAGAATGTACCGGTCGTCTTCAATTCCGGCGATAAATTCTATTATTTTACGTACCGACCTTCTTCAACTTGGGCCTAACATTCTAAAGCCTTAAAACTTTATCTGGGGTTCCTTCGCGTGCTTTTAATTTGGGAATCTTAACCGAACCCGTCTGAAGAGTTCCCAAGACTGTTTCGATGCGTCTGAAGCTGGGAAGATCAATAGAAATTAGCTCAACAGTTTGTGCAAGCGATCTTGCAGTGTCGCTACAAGATTGCAAGCCTGTCAACCAAACATTATAGGGTCACGTGACCGCTCCACCCCATCCTCATCCCTCAGCGTTGATGATGATGTTGAGAGCTGTGTATAATGAATGGCCAACACTGCAGGTCAACGCGATGCTAGACAGAATATGCTGAGTTGGAAAACTCAATATTACTTGTTGCAGGCACCGATGAAGAAACAAGATTGTTGAGGCCTAGGATATGAGCAACAGATTGTCGGATGCGACAGTCGGACTCATGTGGTTGTCGCATGCCATTTGCAAGATGTCCATCAACAGTATGTCAAATTGGACACCAGTTAGCCAATCACAGTGGGAAATCGAAACCGCGTTAGACTCTATAGGGAACAAAACTCGTACCAAGTTGACGTAAATTTATTTACCAAAGGGCTAGTCCCGATTTACCAGTGGAGTAGGTTAGCCCACCAGTGAGTGCATTGTTTATCTTAAGCAGGATTACTTCACCAACATCGTAACAATTAAGTTTCAAAAAATTTCGACGTACATTTCCTTTAATTCATCAAATACAATTCAGCCCCGTCATCATTCTTAAGTTGAAGTCATGTCGAAACCGATAGGTCTGTTCAGACGTCGGCTGTGTGTAAACAGGGCTTCAGTCTCAGGCTATAACAAACCTTTTGCAAGATGATCGGGAGGCTGCTTTGGTGTTTTGCAAATTGCAGTTTACGAGTGGGCGCCAATAGCATTGTTTCAGGTACGGGATACGTTCAAAGGAAAAACACATATAGCTTGCAGCTAATGTAGACATTTTGACAAACGTGGCTGCTTGTTCTGTCGATAACACAACTGCTCTGAGCCTTAGTAAAAAACGGGAACATACAGGCAAACAACAATCCAGATGTTCGCGAGGTCCAGAACGTCATTACACCTTGGTGTTAATAATTGATGGGTTGGCTGTCCAGTTTACGTATAACAATATGTGTTAGTGGCCAACCTTACAATGTAATGAAATTGTTAAGGAGGTGTTGTTGCATTGCACGAAAATAGACCCAAGAAAAAAGGGACCGGATCTGTGTAATATAATTACTCATGCTCTCTGTTCTTGCAGAGGAGTCTCCACAGTCGTATGCGGAAACGTGCCACCATGCTGGCATATACTCCAAGAGTCTTTGCACTGTTTGAAGACGATAACATAGACATGCACGGGTCTCTAAGGCAATAATTATGAGTTGAAATCATAAGTTCTATAATATGTAAATAATGAGAACAAGTTCTCCCTATAAGAAACTGGAGTCCTATCTAGACTTGCCTGTTAGGAGGATAGAATTACTACACATCCATGACTGATCTGAAATTCAAGTACAGCCTTGGAGCAAGGCTAAAAACAATACAAGATGCCCAATATCTGCATTTGGAGCTCAACACAAGATGTAAATGTCTTTACTCGCACATGTTAATCAAGAGGCGTATGGGTTGGATAATAGCCTTATATCTAGGAACAGCTGGGGTTCTGTTGTCAGACTTGGCAAAGAAGAGCAACCGGTTGTTTCAATTAAAATCTAAAACGGTTGAACGAATCCACTTCATTTGACATTTTGTAAACATATTCTAAATGGGTAAATGTTATTTAATATCGCATTCCGCAAAAAATCCAGGTTCGTAAAATATCGAGTCTGGACTAGGCAAACCAATGATGATCCACGTCAATGGGCAAGATGAAGAAGTCGCAGAGCCTGATCACCCGACTCTGTAGAATCTTACGGTCAGCAATAGTGCTGGGGAATTATACCATCCTGGACCCAACGCCTCCGTGGTGAAGTGACCAGGGCCTCGTTCCACAAAGCGATCTTAGTGCTACGTTGATCGTAAGCCTATGATAAAGTATGGGAGTTACGACCAACTTAGCACTAAGATCGCTTTGTGGAACGGGGCCCTGAACGTCTTTCTGGAGAGCCAAGGTCCGTGGGTGATCCTTGGTCGTGTCACACCAAAATATATTAAGAGAAGGTACTTATTGTTACACTGCCCGACGCTAGGCATTATGGGGATAAAACTGGCCAGCTCGGAGTCAGCATAATTTTGTTTGTTTGTTGTTAAACGCGGCACTCAGCAATATTCCAGCTATATGACGGCGGCCTGGAGTCTGGACAAGACAATCCAGTGATTGACATCATGAGCATCGACCCACGCAATTGGGATACGATGACATGGGTCTAAGTTGGGTATCCATGTTAAACTGCGGCATGGTATCTCAGTGGGCTAGCACTATAAAACTCGGCATTAGTCCGGACTAGTACAAGCAGCCACACATGTGCATGCTCATCGCTATATAAGTGTAATAATCTTGAACGAAACGTTAAAGCCAATTTCACCTCACCTCTAGCTATCCTTGGTCTCGCAAAGAGTCATTCTAACTAATGAATTCCCGTTTCTACTTATGCTTCATCGAATAGAGCATGTCCCTTCCTAGCCAATATGGTTCTACTTAACAACCGAAACACAATATCTGCTACGACAGAGGCCGTAATTCGACTTCATTCGATTCAAAGCAAATCACACACTCGACTTAAATAGCCATATAAGTTTATTTCCCCTATCGACTTCTCTTTCTTTTATGTGATCATTAATGCTAAAATATAACATTCATCCACGTGGCTCTCAAAACCTGAGCTGGGAGTAAAATTACAAGGACGGTGGAAAATAGATGCGCGCGTCATCAACGCGCAATTCTGACTTCCTGTCAAAATAGAACGACTATTGATTTTTATTGGCCACGGAAATAAACGGCTTCAAGTCAAGCAATCATGAATATAAGAATAGCTAACATCGACAAAAATAACGTATTTTAGGGAATTCCCTGGTGTTTTATGGGCAACAAGCATACCGCCATCGATACTGTCTTGAAAACAGTAATCTTGGTTTTATTTGGACAAAGCAAACAACGCCTCTCCATGGCGACTACGTCGACGTGAGCTATGACAACTGTTGGCATCGGAACAGTTCTTCAGGCATGGACGTTACGTTAGAAAGGCTGACAGTTCATAACGGGGGAATCAAAACAATTTATGGTGCGATTAACTACGTCTGAATACATGAAGAAGTAAGAGCGAAGGCGACGGCGACGGAGATTTGACACCGTCGTTGACGTGGCAGATGTGGTCTCGGACACAGACAAGCATGAGATACATTTTAGATGTATTACCATATGGTGGTGCATGAAGAGCATGAAGAGCATGAAATAGATTGGATTGGCAAGATAGGGATACTGTTGACAAATATAACAACAATAAGAATAATATAAAAAAATAATGGATTGGATTGACAAGATATGTATATCGTTGTTAAAAACAACAACAACAACAACAACAACAACAATAATAATAGTAAAAGAAAACGAGCTAAGGATGTGGGACATAATCTCAATGTCAGTGTTGATGGGTCTGTACTGCTGGGCGGTACAGAAATGAGTGTCAACAAAGCGAAGGGCCATATCAAATTGTCCCTTTCAAGGAGAACGACCACTGCACCGAGTTTATGTGCAGTGTGTTGAGAAGATCAGCAACCATGTAGAGTCCTTTCTGTTTGCTGCTTAGGTCCAGTCACTTCCCACTCGAAACCGTCAATGTGCAATGAAGATTATGCAATGAATGTAATGAGACTGTCCAACACATTGTCAGTGGACGCCCAGCTTTGGCACAA